GTGATCCAGAAGATTTGTTCTCTCTGACATTCTCTCTGAAGATTCTCAAGCTGAAAGCGCTATCTTTCAAGAATCGGTACGTCAAGACTCCTCACCCAACGTGCGTTCAATGTCAAATTCTGAAGAAAAGCCCAACTGCTCAAGATGAAGTCATTTATTGAAGATTCATCAAGATCATCTTGAAGCTGTTCGAAAATCCTGGAGAATGAAGACCAAGTCTATGCTATCCACAAACCAAGGGGGAGATTGAAAGGTCATAGTATATGGTTTGGGCTAGGCATTACATATATAGATGAGTTAGGACATTTGACAATGTATTTTGGAGTCTTTTGTGCATGTTTGGTGTTTTCGGTCAAGATGAGCTTTCGGTTAGGGAGTGACCGAAAACAGGCTTTTGGTCAGCCTGACCGAAACCTATTTTCGGTCCAGTTGGGTATATATAGGTTGTCAGGCTGTCAGTAGTAGGTTGTTGATCTACAATTGTTCATTACAGTTTTCGGTCCATTGAGTTGTATCAGACGGTTTCATGTGTTAATCGTATGCAAGCTCAAGTTCATTCAATCTTCTACTCTACTTCTTCTTAATTACAATTGTTTGATTGATGATTGGTATAGATCCTTCCATCAAGGACCTTACAATATGTATGATAGACCTACATCGAAAAAATTTACATACCAAAGAGACCATCTGTGTAATGAAAAAAACGTTATGGATAAAACATGCAAATCTAGTATTTGAATGTGTTGGAGGTGGTAAAGAAGAAAGTGGGGTGAATGAGCTATATAATAATTAAAAATGATATAAAGCTACAAAAAGAAATTCTAAAAAAGTACAAATGTCATTTTATATGCATGAGGGACCTACACAACAAAAAATAACATACCAGAAAGACCATCCATATAATGAAAAAAACATTATGGACAAATTTGCAAATCTAAAAAACCATACGGATCATTTATATAATTTTGTGTAATTATTGTTGATGATCTGATATCACACTGAAAAAATGGGAGCATAATGAATCGAATGGCGTGTTGGACAACGACTTCAACTGGTAGCCTAATGAATCCAATGGCCTGTTGGGAAACGACTTCAACTGGGGCCTAAATAATCGAATGGCCTATTGGACACCCCACCAAGTCCCTAAATTTATGTTATTCACAAAAACAAATTAAGAATTGATGGAACATTATTTATTTATTATTATTTTTATTTTAAAACGACAAACTAACTAATCAATTCCTAAATACCACTTATGTCTCCTAAAAAACTTGAATCTATGACCTCTCATTTAAAAGAGTCACTCTTTAACGTTAGGCCAAAGTCTTTTTGGTACCAATATTTATTAAAAATTGTTGGTACTCTTTAAATTAAAGAGGTATGTTGGTTCATTAATTTATTTTCATTGATTTCAACAAATTATCGGGATTAAAAAACAACCAACTATACATATTTATTATTTGCAAAAGAAATTAAGAATTGACGGAACAATATTTATTTATAGGATAAATACTAGTTGTTGGTACTGTATTGAAAGTGGTATGTTGCTCATTAATTTATTTTCATTGATTTCAACAAATTATCGGGGGTTACAAACAACCAACTATCCATATTTATTGTTATTTAATGATAATTTACGTGTATAATTTACGTTACTTGAATCATTTGATGACTATATATATAGATATGAACAGTCCAAGGTTATATAAGCAGTATCCATATCTATAAATTATAATACATGACATCCATCAAGCTATATGTGTCTGTTGTGCTCATACTCGCAGGTAAACTTTATACTAATTATGGTTTATAAGAATTATTCATAAATTATAAAACATGATATCTATATAGTGGGTTTTGACCTACTCCATACAAATTTGAAGTGAAATATATGTTATATATAGAATTTATATATACTTTTGAATAAAAAACGCTAAGGCTGTGAATCATGGTCCACCTAATTAAAAACTTAAATTCATAATGAAGTAAATAATTTACATTTTGAGGCACGCCGATTAAAAATTTGAGGCATTTCTTTTTTAATAGATCAAATTGTATTTCAATCTTCACAATGAATTCTTTATTCGTCAAGTTTGTATATTAATATCTTTTTTTATTATCTTATTTAATCAGTTACTTCAACTTAAACGAATAATTTACTTTAAAATCATATATTGTTATATTTTGTTACCATTTGAAGTATTTTGCTACATGTTCATACCCTTAAACAAAATCTTGGTTACAACACTACATAAAGCTATATGTCTTTGTTGTGCTCATACTCGTAGTTAAAGTTTATATTGTTAAAGTTTATATTGATTATGGTTTGTAATTTAATCAAAAATAAAACATTCAGTTAAAATAATAAGAATCACTGCTCATATTATATACTTAGTAGGTTGGGTGTCATTATATGTAATATAGTGTAAACATATCGTACATCATTTTTTTTCTTTTTTAATCAGGTACCTTTGTCGAAGGTACCCTGGCCCAGAAGACGAATGGACTCGATATTGGAGAATGTTTGGATCAGTGGCATCACGGCAAACCTTGCAATGTATATGAATGCTATAACGAGTGCCAGCGAGTAAAAGGACCGACCGCCGGAGGTAGATGCAATATCGAGAAGACATTGTGTCTATGTGTATACCCTTGTTAAAGTCCATTGTGACGCGAAAGCCATATTATGTATTTATTATATAAATAAATGAGCTTTTTGATAGAGTATATTTTCATCACAATTACTACTAGTACAACCTTTTTTACATATTTAATATATGCTAAAACATTACTACAACATCTATTTCTTTTCACCTACCCTACCCTAGCTCATTTCTTAATTTCTCATTCTTTAGGATTTTATTTGTTTATTGAAATGAGGTAAATTTCAACCAACTTTCATATTAAAGTTTGTCAAAAACTCCAAAAACACAATATGCACAACATCAACGATTCTTATATCATTTAAGGACAAAGAACTAGAAGGTTTTCAGGTATTTACATAGAAACCTCACTACAAAAACTCATAGATACAACACCCAAGCTTAACTAAATCAATCATACAATATCATTTAATAACATTGGAAAATAACAACAGAGTAAAACCTTAACCCTATCTCTGTGTACCATAAACAACAGAAAATAGAGAGCTAAAAGTTGTGTGTGTGAATTTTTTATTTATTTACCATCACAACATCATGATCATCACTTATACTCCGGGTCAACGGATTCATGTAAACCCACAGATCGGGTAAAGATCCCCGTGTCTTCCATCTGCAGTTCACCGAAAAATGAGCCGCAACCATTAGAAATATCAGCAGTAAAAGATCATGTTGCTTAAAACTCAAGGATTTGGTTAAAATATCAGCAGTTTTATCAGATGATGAAATTTTTACTAACTTTAAAACACCATTAGAAATTTTTTTCACGAACAAATTGTAAGTCAATTTCAAAATGTTTAATTCGCTGATGAAAAATAGGATTCATGGCTAGCTTAATAGTTGAGTCATTATCACAATATACAGGAAGAGGAGATAACCCTTTAATTCCTAATTCAAACAAAACTTTTAACACCCATATAATCTCAGAAATTATAGATCCAAGAGCCTTGTATTCAGACTCAGTGGAAGATCTAGAAACAGTAGACTGTTTCTTGTTTTAATACAAAATAAAGAATTATTAAAAATAAACCATATATCCACAGTAACAAACCTACGAGTAGACAAACACTTTGCCCATTCAGCATCAATATAACCTTTTAATTGAAAAGTATCTGAGTTTGTAATTCGTACTCCTCTTCCAGGATTACTTTTTAAATCTTGAAATAGTCTAAAAGCAATCTTTAAGTGAGACATAGTTGGTTTATGCATAAACTAACTATGAACTTGAACACCATAAGAGATGTCAGGTCTAGTGATAGTGAGATAAATCAATTTTCCAATTCGCTTTTGAAATTCAGTAATATTTGATAACAAATTATCAATTTTATCCATATCACCATAATTAACAACCAAATTAGTTTCAAGAGGAGTACTAACAGGCTTACATCCTAGCATACCATACTCCTGCAAAAGTTTTAGACAATATTTTCTCTAATTTAGACAAAGGCCGTCTATAGTATTAATAACCTCAATTCCTAAAAAAATATTTTAAAACACCAAGATCTTCAATAATAAACTGGGTCTTTAAAAATTCTTTAACCTTATCAACTCAGTTTCATGACTTTCACTTAATATGATATCATCGACATAAACAAGTAAAATAGTAACAGAATTTTCAACATTTCTGGTAAATAAAGAATAATCACTAACACTTTGCTTAAAACCAAATTTAAACAAGGCAGAACATAATTTTTCATTCCGCATTGTAGGAGCCTGTTTAAGGCCGTATAAAGACTTAACCAATTTAAATACCCTAGTATCATTTTCCGTATGATAACCAGGAGGAAGAGACGTATAAAGATCATCAGAAAGATCCCCATATAAAAAAAAATCATTATTAATATACAGTTGATATAGAGGCCAAAAATTATGAACCGGTAAAGAAATGACAATACGAAATGTAACAATTTTTGCAACGGGTGAGAAGGTTTCTTCAAAATCAATTCCTTCTCTTTAGTTAAACCCTTTAGCAATTAACCTAGCTTTATAACGTTCAAGTTCCTCATTAGGTTTGTATTTAATCCTATAAACCCATTTACACCCAATAGGTTTTCTGTTTTTAGGAAGAGAAGTCATATGCCAAGTATAAAGGGCTTCCATTTCTTCATTCAGCTCTTTGACCCAATCGGTATCAGAGGAAGCCTCTTCAAATTTTTTAGGTTCAACAGTCTTATTTAAATTACATAAAAAACATCTAGTATCATTATCAACAAAAGAATAGTTAACATACCTTTCTATACCATATTTATATTTACCCTCAATGATATAATCTGAAAATTTTGCAGGCATGCAAGACTCTCTTCTAGACGTAGATGACCCAATAGATTGTTCAAGTGAAGGAAAGTTAAGAGAATGACTACTTTCCCCATAATTAAAAAAAGGAGTTAGAACTGAACCATCAGTGGGAGGCATAGTTTCCTCGCCACTTTGGTTGCAGACATTACTAGTACTTGTCTCATCCAGGTTGGTGATTGCATCAACACCATCCCACTGGGTTTCAATTATTAAATCATCCAAGTTAATAGAATCATTATTCTATTCATTAACATTAACATTATTATAGGAAAAACGATCACAAGGACTACCACTGTTAAGGGAAAAGTCAACAGATTGAGCCACACCTTCTCCCCTTGTTTTAGAATGGAGCCAGATTCCAGAACACCTTCCAGCCGATTAAGCATTCTGAAGACATGCTTTAATTTCTAAGCAAGATGCTTCTTCACCGTAATAGTGATCATTGAGTCGCGAGTGTCAATGATATTCGAAAGCATGCCATTAACTTCTGCAATGTAGCTCTTCATAGCAGCTTTCTCTGATACCAACTGATAGGATAATAATCCTTTAAAGATCGATTAGATTCAAAACATATTGCAAATAAGAACAAGGACAATAATTCAAAGTATGTGTAATGATTATATTCCATAGCCTCAAAAGAACTCGATTAAGAATTGCTACTGTAGAGGCGTGATTAGGGTTACAAGAATAATTGCAAAAGTTAAGAAACACGATGCATGCATGCACCTTAAATACTCTAACCCTAATAAATAACGGGTGGACAAGCCCAAGCCCGTTTACATAAATGGACTAACAAGAACATACAATGACGCATCATAATATTCCTAACATCCTCTGATGTTCAGCTTTGACCTTCCTACATGTCAAACACCGCTCGACAAACCACACAACCTCCCGCTTCATGCGAGGCCACCAATAGCTCAATCTCAAGTCTCGGTACATCTTTGTGGCCTCGGATGAATAGAAAATTTCGACTTTTGCGCCTCCTCCAAGATTCTTTGCCTCACACCCTCGGATACCAGAACCCAAACTCTGCCACACTGAGTCAATAACCCCCTCCTATCTCAGACAAACAACGGAATTTGCCCCCGAATCCGCTCGATCTTCTAGTTCTCCATTTTTAAACCCTCCACCTATGCCTCCTTAATCATATCCAATAAAGGTGAAATCACTGTCATCCTCAAGCAAACATCTCGAATCGGGGCACTTGCTGTCTTATGGCTCAAAGCATCGCCCACCACATTGGCCTTCCCGGGATGGTACAAAATCTCACAGTCATAATCTTTCACCACATCTACCGATCTCCTCTGACGCATATTCAAATTATGTTGATCCATTAAATACTTCAAAATCATGTGATTAGTGAAGATGGTACATCGTACCCCATATAGATAATGCCTCCAAATTTTGAGGGCAAATACCATTGCCCCTAATTCCAAATAATGAGTGGGGTAATTCGCATCATGAGGCTTCAGCTGCCTCGAGGTGTAAGCAATTAGATGCCCCCTCTGCATCAGCACAACTCCTAACCCTGAAATAGAAGCGCCGCAATACACCACAAAATCATCCAATCCCTCGGGTAGAGCTAGAATCGGGGCGTCACATAATTTCCGCCTCAATGTCTCGAAAGCAGATTACTGATCTGGACCCCACCGAAAGGTCAAACTCTTCTTAGTCAAACAGGTCAAGGGTACAATAATTTTGGAGAAATACTGGATGAATCTCCGATAATACCCCGCTAATCCTAAGAAACTCCTGATCTCGGATGTGTTTTTCGGAACCTCCCAACGCATTACCGCCTCAATTTTGGCGGGATCTACCAAAATACCCTCTTGGCTGATGATGTGCCCCAGAAACTGCACTAAACGCAACCAAAACTCGCATTTGAAGAATTTGGCATGAAGCCTCTCCCTCCTCAAGGTCTCAAACACCTCTCTCAAATGCTGCTCGTACTGCTCCTTTGTCTTAGAATAGACCAGGATATCATCAATGAAAACAATCACAGACCAATCCAGCATCGGTCTGCAAACCTGGTTCATGAGATCCATTAATGCTGCTTGATCATTGGTGAGCCCAAATGGCATCACCAATGTCACACCCCAAAACCAGAACGGCGGAAACGCTCTGGGGTGGAGGACGTCATGTACAGTATCATAACAATGCATAATAGTAAAGACAAGCAACAACATCCATTGCATTAATATAATAGTTAAGTACAAGTGTGTTCTTTTGTAAGTTTAAATGACACCAAAAATGTACAATCAAAACGAAGATGAGTCTTGGATCCACTTCGTCCTTCAAAAGCTGCATGGGTATACCTGTCTTATTGGTTCCCTGAGAATA